TTCACAGAAAATGAAAGTTAATAACGACTAATGTACGTACAATTTCTGTTCACAGAAACCTAGGATATCCTTAGTTGGTTGTGCTAGCATGAGACAGTATGTTAGACTACAGTGTCCCTTACTGCCAGAGCACATAACTCTTCCAAGCAACCTGCAGTTACAAATTTTTGTTTTGCTCTTAGGTATTATGCAGGGAGCCTCCGAGTCAAAACAGAGGACCCTACCACTGCAGTCTTAATTCAGAGAAGTGCAGAAGGCATTGTCAATGCTGTTGAGAAAGGAGGAACAGACAACGTAATGGAATGGGAAGTGGATGAACTGTTAAAATGGACAAATGCACTAAACTTTGAAGAGTAAGTATGTGGGGCTGTTGTTATCTCTCTCTCCCCAATGAAGGGCTTTATTTATGAGAGAGCCCTGATGATCCACAGCTTATCCCACTTTAAATCTTCTCCCTCCATTGCTCTGTGTTGTGGACTTGATCTTCTTGGAAATGTTTCACCTTCCCCAACAGAATAAACTTGTATTTAATTTTCAGGACTTTGCTAATTGTACCTTAAACTGAATATGTGTTTGCTTAATGTGCCATAGATATATTAGCCAGTGGAAAGAAATTGCAACAAGCAATTCATCGGCTAACTACCAGGGTAAGTAGCTCCAACTATAGTTATGGTAAATGACTTCAAATACAGCATTACTCTAAAAAATTACTGTAAAAATGGCAGCAATGTTCCTTTTTAAATCAACTTTCTGGATCATCTTTATTAAGGCATGCATCTTTTTACAATCAGATTTGATATGCAGTAATTTAGTTTATTTTTCACATTTTTTCTCTCTGCTATTATCAGGCCAGTAAACCTAAAATTTGACCTTCCAGGTAAGTTAGTTCATAGGCATGTTATTTATATGTTATTTATATTAGTGGGTTGAACTAAAAATACACCAAACAGGATCTCTTGAGATGACGTAGAAAGATTTATTTTCATTTATTATCATGGTTTATTCCCGATATGTGACTATCACTCATGTACATAATGCTCTTGCACTGAGTATATTCTAGGACTAAATAAACCATATTCTTGGCTGTAGTTAGGTGGAAGCTGGCAACCAGACAAAGATGGGTATCTGTTTTGTATGGTTTAGATATCATACTGTCTGGGTACTCTAGCTATACCCATATTTAGCACTTCCAATGCCAGGGAAGTATCATAAAAAGCTGATTATCAGCTTGTCTGGAATAAAGAAATAAACTTGGCAAAAAAGTGCATTTCTCAGATTATTCCATAGTAATATTCATCCTAACATATGAAAAAATTGGAGAGCACCGTATAAAAGTAAAGCATTTTCCATGTAGCCAGTGGATGTGAAAACATTTTGTAATAACCAGGTTATGTTCAGAACTGGCATACACAGTAACAAAATGATCAATTTATTTTGAAACTGGTGTGGGTCACATGTGGCAGCCAACCCTAAAAATCAATGACATTGTAACAGCATCATTTGGTAGGTAAGAGGTGCATGAAAGTCTGAAATACCCAAGAGCCTTTTGGATCTCTTGATTATTCATAGATAAAGCTATGATCATCTACTCTGAACACCTGTATAGCATAGGCTATAGAACTCTCCCATAATATATCTTTTAGATAATATCAGATATTGACTTAAAAATTGTCAGTGATGGAGAATGTACCACGAACCACTAGTAAATTGTTCCAAGTATTTAATTACTTTTGCCATTAAAAATTACACATTAGTTTGTCTGAATTTGTCTTAAATTTCCAGTCTTTGGATAATGTTATATTTTTCTCTGCTAGATTGAAGAGCCCATTATTAAAATTTCCTCACCATGGAGGTACTTCTAGTCTGTGATCAAGTCACCCCTTATCCTTCTCTTTTAATAATTTCTGTGGCTCTTCTTTGAACCCTCTCAAATATATCTACATCCTTCTTGAATTCTGGATACCAGAACTGTACACATTATTCTAGCAGCAGTCGCACCAGTGCCAAATAACTGCTCTACTCAAGATTCCCATTTAATGAATCTCAGAATCACATTAGAAATTTTGGCCACAGCATTACACTGGGAGCTCATATTCATCCACATTGACCTCCAAATCTTTTTTCAGTCACTGCATCCCAGAATAAAATCCCCTATCTTTGTGCCTAGAGACATATATTTACATTTAGTTGTATTAAACATGCACATTTACTTCCTCCCAGTTTTCCAAGAGATCCAGGTTGCACTGAATCAGTGATTTGTCCTTTTCATTATTTACCTCTGTCCCAAATTTTGTGTCATCTATAAACTTTTTCAGTGATGACTTTGTGTTAAATAGAATAGGATCAAGAATCAATCCCCACAGGACTTCAATGGAAACAGACTTGCTCAATGGGAACTCTTTATTTATGGTTATATTTTGAGATCTCTCAGCAGTGGGACTGACAGCCATGGTGGACCTACGGGCAAAGAGGGGGTGGGGCACAGCTCCATGCCCTGGAAAGAGAAGGTCCTGGGGCAGTCAGCCTTTAGTGCTATCCAAAGTGGGGGGCTGGGTCCTCCCCCCACTTCTGCCCTCAGAGGTGCGTGGAGCTGCAGAACTTAGTGAAAATAAGCATAAATGGTACAGCAAGTTCATCAGCCAGCTCCTTTAAACCTCTTGGATGCAAGTTATCTGGACCTGCTGATTTAAAAATATCCAACTTTAGTAGCTTCTGTTTAACATTTTCCAGTGATACTGGTGGAATGGAAAGAGTTTTATCATTACCAAATGATATGAGGGCATTGTTTTGTTTTTCCCAACTACAGAACAGAAATATTTATTGAACACTTCTGTTTTATGCATTATTATTGATAATTATACCATTTCCATCTAATATTGTCCATATTCTTTTTGTTCCTAATATATTTTTTAAAAACTTATTATCCTTATTTCTGCTGGCCATAGAATTCTCCTTGTGTCTCTTGGCTTCCCTTATTTTTCTACAATTCTTACCTTCTGATTTAGTTCATTGGTTTCAACTTTCCCTTTCTTCTGTTTGTTATATGTTATTTTTATAGGGGCTTTCACTTTTCTACACCAGGTTGTTTTTAAGCAGTACAGCCTTCTTCCTCAGTTGTTGTATTGTGGCTTTTTGGGCCATTATCAAAGTATTCTTAAATAATTCTCAAGTATTTTTGTATTTAAAATTCTTTCTCCCCACTGATTTGGCTCACAATTGTTTTCAGCTTTGTGAAATTTACCCTATTAAACTGCCACGTCTGTAATTTTTAATATTATATTATGAATTTTATTCTGCTTACACAACATATATGTGATCAAGTCGTAATCATTTGTGCCTAAGCTATCATTAACATTTAGTTTGATAATCAATTCCTCTTTATACATTAGAATTCCCCTATGGTAGCTGCAACACTTTTTAAGTTAGGAAATTGTCATCTATAACATTTAGACATTTGAAGGATGTTTTAGTGCTGGTAGCATTATATAACCGTTAATAAAAAGACAATGCATAGTGCAATGGAATGTATAAAAATTGATTTCTCCACCAATTCTGGTAGAGGTCAGAGTTGTGGGTTTTTAATTTACTAAAAGTTATGCCTAATATTAAAATGATTGTAGGATGCAAATAAAAAGGCCTTGAATATTTTAATAGTAATGCTGTCATTACAGGAAACAATATAAAAATATCTTAGTTATGCTACCACTTAGCTCCAGTGACAGAGAACATAATTCAAGTGGTAGGGAATCCAAAGCTAAATCAATATAAGCCACTTACAAACTGATGTGTGCCACACACAGAAATTTGCACTGATTTAACTAAAGTGATTAAAAAAACTACCAGTATTATCTGCTGGGTGTAGACAACCTGTCAGTTAAATCAGGCAAGAACCATTGTTTTCTTTATAGGACATCTTGATAAAGCAGCTTTACAATGCTTTATTTAGATATTACGGTAAATATCCTGGACTGTATTAATATGCAGCGTCTCATAGAAGATTGGAGAGCAGGTGTTATAAGTCAAAAGAAGGCCAAGATATAAATAAAAGGCCAAATTCCTCTCTCCTTTGCACTCTAATCTAGAGTAACTGTTGATTTCCATGGAGTTACTCCATTGGGGAAGTAGAATTTAGCCTCTAGTTTAGACCCGCGTCGCCCCCTGGACTGCAGTGTCCTCTTTGGAACCCACTCTGTTCCTCCCCCCTTTTGTCCTCAGTCCTGACACATGCCTGAGCAGCCAACTGCAGTCCCATAGTCTAGCCCCTAGCCTCAGGATCAAGTGGCCAGTGTGTATAGGCTGCCCTTCACAGCAGTTAGGTGTGGTGCAAGAGGGAAGGGGAGGACCCAGGCCTGACCACTACTCTGGGCTCCAACCCAGGAACCCTTTGGCAGCAGCTGCTTTCTCCCTCCCTCCTCCTTCCCCTTATTTACTCCCATTCCATGCCACTTCATTATAACTCTTGCACCTTCTTGGCCCTTGTATTAAGGCCTACAGCCTGGATGTATCAGGCTGGGGCTTCTCTTCAGCACTGCTTTGTCCAAGGCAC